TGTTGCAGTGGGTGGTACCTACTGGGATTTTGCCAAGGCGTTTGAAATGGATCCTCATAATAGGTTAGTGTTCAAACTAAAAGAAGCTAGTCTAGATAAAAATTATTTTTCTTAGGTAGAACATTGGCTTAGAGACAGAGTACAGAGTTGTTATTAAAGGTACATTTTCAAGCTGGTCAAATGTGGTAAGTGGTGTCCTTCAGGGTTCTGGTATCGTTTCTATTTCACATATCAGCAGCAGACCCTTCCTCCCAGACCCTCCCACCTCCTGGACAGCTTACTAAGAATGCAGCTTAAAAATGGATGCTGTCCAGGAGGTGGGAGGGTCTGGGAGGGAGGGTCTGCTGCTGATTGGCTGGAATGTGTCTGCTGACTGTGAGGTACAGGGTCAAAGTTTACTCAATGATGAGTCCATGGCGAACCGTTCGTGGCGAACCGTTTGGGAACCGTTCGGCGAACCGTTCGGGACATCACTACTAGTAAGTTATTATCATCTATAAAAAGAAGCATTACATTTTGGGTTGAAAACTAAATTTTACCTCTTTAAAAAATCAATGGTAAGACCACATTTTTAATATGCTGTGCAATCTTCGGCACTTGGTCTAAAGAAGGATATTATGACACTAGAAAAAGTGCAGAAGTAGACTACATGATTAATAAGAAATTCAACATTTTAGTTCCAAAGAAAGGTTAACAAATTTAAATCTGTTTAGTTTAGAAAAATGGCACCTCAGAGGGGATAATGATAGCATTTTACAAATATATTCTACGAACCATTGTCTGGAAATCTATTCATAAACCATAGGACACAAGGTCATTCACTCATCTGTGAACAGGACTGTTTGAAAATTAGTCTTCATGTATTTTTCTGCCCAATGCAGCCGTTTCTGCTGGTGAGCATTGGTTAGTGGTGGCCGAACAGAAGTTTTATGCACAGTTGCAAGACTCTGGAGGACTCTACACCTTGATGTCCGTGGGACTCCAGAAGCACCAGCAGCTTCAAATATCTGTTTGCTGCGATGTAATGGTATTTTAGCAGCTGCTCTCTTAATCCGATGCATGGATCTGGCAGACATCATCCTCAATGTGCCTTTATCTGCACAAACCCGTCTGTGCTTTGAATCAGCCACAAATCTCTTAATAGTGCGATGATCATGCTTACGTTTTTGTGAAATATCTAATGTTTTCATACCTCGTCAAAGGCATTGAACTATTTCACTCTTTTTAGCAGCAGAGAGATCATTTCTCTTCTCCATATTGCATGAAAATGGTGCTCTGCTTAATAATGTGGAACACCCTCCTTTAGTAGTTTTTCCTGGCTCACCTGGCAACTAATTATCACAGGTGTCCAAGATTGTTTTCAGTGATCAAAAGAGCCATGAGACACAATGCCATCCATGAGTTAAACTGAAAAACTAAATATTTAATCTTTGTGACACATAAATAGAATTTGCATAATAATTTGGACCAGGGTGTATTTTTTAATAAGAGACGGCTCCATATGTTTAAATTTGTATCATTAGGTTCGGCAGGGATATGAGGGGCTGTGTGATCATTACTAGTATGTCATCTGCAAACAGATTGAGCTTGTACTCTCTAGCTCCTTTGTTGATGCCATGTATGGACGGATCAGCTCTTATGGCTGTTGCCAAAGGTTCCAGTGCTAGTATATAGAGCAGTGGTGACAGAGGGCAGCCCTGTGTAGATCCGTTGGTAATGGTAATTTGTTTGGATATGAACCCTGAGTTGAGGACCCTGTCTGTGGGGTGTGAATAAAGGGCTCAGACAGTATTTATGAAGGCTGGAGGCAACTTGTATTTACGGAGCACTGCGTCCAGGAAAGGCCAGTTAAGGCATCTAGAGAGAGAAGTACACCCCCCTCCTGGCTCCTCAGTAGACTATGCATTAGGCCAATTACTTTCCCCGTGTTTTCAGGCCCTTGCTTACCCATGGTGAAGCCCACCTGATTGTCGTGTATCAATGTAGGGATAATGTTGGACAGTCTGGTGGCTTGTACTTTTGCATATAGTTTAGTGTCTGTGTTCAAGAGTGATATTGGCCTAAAGTTTTGGCTACATGTGGGTGGTTTCCCTGGCTTGGGTAGTGTAAAGATGTGGGCTTCTAGCATGTCTGTGGGCACTTCTGCTTTAAGGGTGATTGTGTTAAATAGCTTAGCTAGGTGTAGAGATAGAGTGTCTGCAAACTTTTTGTAGTAGGCGTTAGTGAGTCCATCCGGACCTGGGGCTTTCCCATTCGGAAAGCGTGAGATGGCCTGGAGGATCTCTTCACCTGTGATAACGGCTTGTAGGATTTCTATCTGCTCCCTGGATAAGAATGGTAGGGAAATCCTTTCCAGATATCTTTCTATGCTCACTGGGGTCGGCTGGGGCGTGTTAGTGTCTTTCTCTAAGTTGTATAAGGTTGTATAGTAGTCTGCAAAGACATCACTGATGTCTCTAGGTTTTACCTTTCTTTCCCCTGCAGAATTCTGTTTGTATGGGATCTTGGTAGTTGCACTTCTGTGTGACAATCTCCTTGCTAGTAGTTTACTTGCCCTATTCCCTTGAGTATAATTCGTAGCTCTGAGTTTTCGTAAGCTGAACCCCATTTTTGCCAGGTTGTGTTCTTTGATCTCGTCTAACTTTTCCTTGATTTGCTTTTTTAATGTTAGGGTCGGGGATAATTAGGTTAGTTTATTTAGGAGTTATAGGGCTTTCAGACATCCTTTCAGTTTTGTTTGGGATTTTTGTTTTAGTGTGCTGGCTTTCCCTATGAAGAGCCCCCCTGATTACCGGTTTGTGAGCCTGCCATATTGTTTCTGGTGTGATTTCTGGGATCTGGTTAGTGGTAAAGTAGTGTTTAATGTCAGTGGCTAGGTCTTTGCAAAATTGTAGGGTTTTGTTTATTCTCCATGGGCTGCGGTGCCTGTAGTCCTAGGCATCTTGCAATTCTAAGATTAGTGGGGCATGGTCAGACCATGGAGCAGGATGTTAGTTGGTTGAGGAATGTGCCCGTTATATAGAACCCGTCTATGCGTGAATAGGTATTATGTACCTGGGAGAAGAAGGTGTAGTCCCTCTCTTCAGGGTGCAGCACCCTCCATGCGTCATAGAGGTCGTGCGCACTGAGCAGGCAAACTAATGGTTTGCATTCTCGTGTAAGGGTGGCGAATCTAGGTGTTTTATGTCATACTGTGGAGTTCCAATTTGGGTCCAGTATATGATTTAAGTCACCGCAGATGACCGTAATGGCAATCTAGACTGGTGAAAGATGAGTTATAATTTTGTGTAGGAAGTTTCTCTGGTTGGTGTTTGGTGTGTAGAGATTGACAATAGTGTGTCCCAAGTTATTTATTTCACAGACTAAAATTATATATCTCCCTTGTTTGTCTATGGACTCATAGAGTAGCTTGAAAGCCACATCCTTGCTAATCAGGATAGACTCCCTTTGTTTTGGCTGTGGAAGTACTGTGGTACTGTACAGGGTATTGTGCTTGTGCCAGTGTGGGTGCTTTTTAAAAGTCTGTTTCTTGCAAGCACACAATGTCTGGATGTACCTTGCGCAGGTCTCTGACCAGGCAGTACCGTTTTACAGGGGTGTTCAGTCCCTTTACATTATGACTGTATATTTTCATAATCTAACAGGTTGTATAGAGGGTTGCTGATTTTCTCTGTCAGTATTGGTAGCGTTATGATCGCTATTATTTTCTACAGGGCTTTCGGACGCGGTCTGTGTGTATCTTGTGTATCTCGGTACCTGGGAGTCTGATGGGTCCCCATGTGTAATCCCCTGTTTTGTGCCCGCCCAGGTCGTTCCGTGTTTACTTTCATTGGAGTCTACACTGGAGAACATTCCCTTAGTGGTGGAGGGGGGTGGGATAGTGGAGTATAGCGTTAGGAGAACAGTAGTGCAAACATTATTCGCAACAATCAAAAAACATTACAGTATATACAATTTCATCAACATGTGCAAACATTTCCCACTGAAGGGTAGTGCACCAAATGGCTAGTGCAAGGTGGGAGCGTGGTTACTATGTGCGGTTACTAGAGTGTTGGGTTGTAGGGTGAGCACGCTTGGCCCGATACTCGCTGTCATCTGGCTTGTGCGTGGAGCGCTATTGTTGGTACGTGTTATCTGGCTAGTGCTGTGGTGTGTGTGTGGTTTGGGGTTTTATAAAGGTAGAGAGGTAGGAGCTTATTTAGGGTGTGACCGTGGTTGCCTCCCCCCCCTTTTTTGTGTTGGAAGGCATTCGGGCTCTGCCCTCTCTGTCGGCATCTATTCCACTCCGGAGACAGACGGTTCGGTGTGGCTGTGCCCCGTCCTCCAGGTTTGGCGTGATGTGCCAGCTGTGCAGCAGTTTGTGGCCTTCCTCAGGCGTGTTTATTGTTGTCACTGTGCCATTTCTCCTAATCAGTAGGCGGAGCGGGTATCCCCATCTATACTGGACATTGTTGTGGTATAGTGCTTCTGCTGTGTCCTTAAATTACTTGCTTTTTTGTAACGTGGTGGCCGAGAGGTCGGTGAACACCTTGATGGTTCTAAATTTTTGTGGAAGATCTCTACCCACTCTCACTGCCTGGAGCAGTGCCTCCTTTACATGGAAGTAATGCACGTGTGAGCATGTCTCTGGGGGTCTCCTGTGGTAAGAAGGCTGGTTTTTGCAAACGGTGGTATCTGTCCAATAACAAGACCTCCAAGGGTAAATCTGGTGCTAGTGCTTTGAAGTACCCTACCAGGTACTCGTGTAGGTCTTGCTGCTTAGCCTCCTCCGATATGCCTTCGATGCGGAGGTTTTGGCACCGTGAGTGATCTTCTAGGTCCATGACCTTGCGCTGTGTGATTTCCAACTGCTGCTGTAAGCTCTGCACCTGGTCAGCCATATCATTATGAGTGGAGGCCTGATCCTCCAGCCGTGCAGTCCTATTCCCCAGCACCTGTACATCTTTTCAGGGCTCCCTTAGGGTGCCTTGTAGGGTTGCCAGGATTTTGCTGGACATGTCCTACAGGGAGCTCTGCAAGAAGTACTGGGTCACAGGCAGGTTTTGAGGCCCTGGTGAAGTTTGCAGCGACATCGTGGCGTTTCCGCCTTCGCCATCTTGTTCCTGGTCTGTCAGGCTGGAGGATTTCGGCATCGACGCCCGGGTCACGAAGAAGCTGGAGCGGTCAGTCTTATCTGCCTGTTTCTGATGCTTCTGGGTGGCCATGTCAGGGGGGTTCTGGGTGGTCTTTTTAGAAGCCGGTTTGTGCTTTAATTATGCTTTTTTGGGCTAGCGTTGTGCAGAGTTCAGATCAGTGCGACCATCCGCATTGCTCGCCAAGCCATGTCTGTCCGGAAACACATTTTTTAAAATATAACCTATCCAAGGATGGCAACCCATCCCTACATGCTAATGTAGAGGCATAATATTTTTGTGGAGGAGCAATTAGCCCACAACTTTCCTTTTTTTTTTATGGCTGCAATGGCCTTTTTTTTTCCTGGACTTATGTTCAAACAATCGAATGTGGCTGTTCAGAGTGAAATTATTCCCCTTCAGCGGTTGTTGGGAGTGGGTTGGCTCTCTTCCAAAGGTTTTTGCTGCTGTTCTGAGTGAAAAATAAAAATGTAATCCTTTAAGGGTTGGGTAAGGCTTATGTGCTTCGTCCTGTAAAGCAATAAAGTTTTTCATTAAGTTTGTTGCAGGGACCTGACTCTCTGTGAGTCCACCAGCCTGACTCTCTGCCTGACTCTCTGCCAGTCCACCAGTACCACTGGCCCACTGCATTCAAAGACTGTTGCTGTTCTCACTCTTAGTGAAACCTCCTTTCTCCCATCCTGCCTCCTTTGTCCCTGGCCTTGTGTCCAATTCTTATTTTAATCTGGAGTGTATACTGTGCAAAGTATGCATGCAATTACAATGCATATAAAAAGTGCATTGCTATTAACCACTAGTCAGTCAGTCATTGACTCCAAAAGCAGACATTAGACTGTTGAAGTGTGACCTGCCAAGGATGGGGTACATTGATGTTGTGGCAGGCTTATGCAATGTATGATCATATAATGTAACTAAACCCCTATTGTTTTTTAAAAAAACTAATAAAATCTGTCAACGTTGAAGTTACTGTTTAGTGTATAAGTGAGTGCATTGGATGTTGTGTATTGTATAAATTTGCCCCCAGCAGCACCCAATTTATGCATGTTCGGGTGAGTGCAACCCCCGGTTTCATATATATATATATATATATATATATATATATATATATTTAGCTTTGTTTCATTTTATTTTTTCTTTCATATTTCATCAATCAATCTCCCTGGCTCCCAGTGTTTTGGCTTTCCTCCTGACTTAGCATCCTGCCGCCTGCCCAGACCTTTAGACTTCCTTTGAAAAATTCTAACAAACTTTTTTCTTTGACCATGCTTTTCTGCCTCTGCCCTTTGGATACTGTGCAAAGTAGTACCTAGTTTGTCTTATGATATCTTTTGACTGCGTTGTAACTTCAGTGAAATTCCAACTTCGCAATTGTGCATATTTCATAAAAAAACATTTCTTGGGTTGGTGGTGGAGTTACTTGAATCCTGCATCCTTAAAATCAAAGATAATAAAAAAGAGAGAGACAGAATTAGCTGTGGAAGAATAGATGTATTTTCTTAGCCTAATATCTTGCTGCCATTGTAGAGAAACGTACAACGCATTACGATTGTTCTTGTGTCTTCATGTTTGCTTCTTTTAATCTCCTCCAGTATATTCTTTTCACCTCTTTCACATTGTATATCACTCACACCATTGGTCCTAAATCACTCAGAGCCCTGAATGAGCGGAAGAAGCAGGAGGAATAATTGGAAAGTGTGAGTTAAATGGCAGGCACATGATAATTTACCTAAGATTAAGAGTTGACAGCCTGGGGAGTAAGAAAGCTGCAGATGTACCAGGCAAGTAACAAAGCACATGTCACACAGTCATTTTTTAAACCAGTGTCTTTGTTTATAGGAAGGGAAATTATTCCTTTCTCCTTCACTTCACCTGTATAGAACCCCCTCAATAGCTATAATGAGCTGTGGCATCTGACAAATGCATTACAAGCATAAATGGTAGAACAATATATCCAACAAACAGTAAATATTCCAAATGCAGGAGTTTCATATGAGGGAAGTTCATAGTTGGACCTTGTGGTGAATGGAAAGTTAATTTGCAAAATGAAGGCTTAAAGAAACAGGCAGAGATATTCACTAAAAACCCGATTTTGTTTGGATAGAAAAAAATCCAGAGAAAATTGTCGAATTCTGAATGGAATGGCATTTCTCATGTTTTCTAAAGCCAAATCCAGTCAGAATTTGGTTGGTCCAAGTGAATCTGCAACAATCACACAGATGCATACAGTATCCGGATAAAAATATAGAGCTTTCTGCATCTGAACTGTTATAGGGGAACTCTGAAGAAGAGAGTCCGGACACAGGTCCGTTCAGGAAGCAAAGGTCTTTATTCTCACCGATCGGGTCAAAGTATAGGATTGGATAATTCACACGCACTGATTTAAAACAAATTTGTATCGGAATGCATCCAATAGGAATGAACTTTCACAAATTATTAACTTGGTATTTGCAAATAAATAAAAAAATTTAGTACTATTTGTCTGATGGAAGCTCTAGAGACAGTGGGAAAATAATTGACCATTGGGGTGCTATGGTTAACCATGTGGTGGCTGGTTAGCTAGGTGACATTAAAAATGTTAAAATGCCTTTGAGGGTCACATAGTAAAGTGAGGATTTTAACCTCGTTAGTTCCCCCACCTGCCCAGTGGCAGTTGAGACACATCAACTAAGGATAGAACAGTTGTTAGATCAGCGCTTAGTGACCAGTAGGCAGCTAGAAATAGAGGGTGGACCGCAACCTAAGGGTATGATGTTCCCTCACAGACCATCAAAGAGAATACAGATATAGAAACAAAAAAATATAGGTTGCGCCACAGAGAAATTGTAATATAATAAAATCATTGTGTACTCACATAAAATTCTTAAGTAAAAGCAAAGTCCAAATAAAAGGTATATAGGTATATGGGTGAGAGTAGTCCAAGTTGATTGAAGAGGGAGTTCAGTAGGTCTTGTAGGTGTAGAGAGAGTCAAATGTCCGGATTACGTAGAAGCATGTAAATGAGAAAAAAGTTCCAATAGTGTAACACTGTAAATGGAATCAAATAGACCTAGTATGATGGTGGTGATATTCCTCCTACTCACCTATTTGAGAGTTAGTGCCAGCTCAGGTGGGAACAGCATTCAGTGGCGTTGATCCCCCACTGGTAGGATATAGGTGTTGTTGGGTTTTGAAGGTCCTCGGTATGGGGAGAAAGAAATAAAACGAAATAGTGCTCACTGTATATAAAAATGGATAGTATGGTATTTCAAAGGTAAACTACTCACATGTAGGTGAGCAGGATATACTGCTCACTTTAACAGCGTAGGTGATATAATCCCCACCTGGGATTCTTGAGTGAGTAGATGTTCCAGAGTATAAGGTAACCAGATTAAAATGTAAGTAAAAATGGTAAAAAATGGTATATGGCACAGGCAAACTATAAGGGCCAATTTTCCTTTAATGATGTATATTAAAAAAAAGAGTATAAAAACAGTAAAAAACAGCCAAACGCGTTTCGCCAACAACAGGGCTTCATCAAATGGCACTAAAAGCAATGACCTGGTACATAATGGTTTATATATACATTTACAAGCAATCAGTTATTCAAATTTTGGTGCCAAAATGACGTCATAATTTTGTGACATGTAAAATATATAAAACAGAAAAAAAGCAATGTAGACATAATCTATGAATTGTACAGAGTTTGGATATGTGGTTTTTTTATTAAAACAAGTGATTTTTACGGCTAAAAAAAGGAGTGGAAAAGGTAAAATTACAAATGGGCGGTCATGTGGAGCACGATAGGGCTATGACACGCTAACCGACGTGACTCGCCGAAAAGGCCCATGGGGAATGTAGGCTACAATAGGCAAGACCACTTGCTTCTACTGTAGCACGGATTCCCGTGGGCAGAGTTGAATTTCTTACAGGCTTGGTGAGAGCGAGTGAAGGATTTCTTCGAAGTGGGCGCTGTGCGCATGCGCCCCCAACCCCAATGCATATTGGGAGATGGAGTCCTCAAGCATAAATGAAAAGTATAGCCGAGAATGGAACACATCAATTTGCATATTAGAAGAATAATAAGAGCGAAAATAAAGTGTGTTTTGAGATTATTTGTATGAGACTTCATTGAAAAAAGGGTACATTTACACAAACAGAATGAATAACCCATCTGGACAAAAAAAAAAGGGGGTAGGGGGAGAAGAGAAAACAATGAATTAAGTGGAAAACTTTATATATTGAACAATATAGCCTACCTTATACATCCAGGGATAGATAGCTTTCTTTTTTTAACTAATAGATAATTTGATGGTGGATGAGATTCCATCTTTAGAAAATAGAAAGGGAGATATGTGAATAAAACCTAGGGGGAGGGAACATGTATAGGGACTAAAAGCAAAATACTATTTAAAAATGGAAATAACACAGAACAAAAAAAAAGAGTATAAAAGTAAAAATGAAAAAATGAAAATAAGTTAAAAATAAAATCAATATAACATAAATAGGAACGAAAAAAGTGAGAAAAAAAGTGAAAAAAATTATGAACAAAAAATATGTTTAAAAAACTAAGAATTATAAGAAAAAAATAATAGTAACAATAAATATGAATAGTAATATAACAAATATGGGTAATAAAAATATTTATAAAACTTTCTATAAAATGTTAAAAAAATCGAATTCAACATTAAGACCTTCTGGAGTTTTAAGCTCAAAAACCCAATACATTTCTCTTTTACCCAGGATTCTCCTCACATCTCCACCTCTCCACAGGGTATGACATTGTTTGATCCCAATACATTTTTATTTAAATAATTCTTTATTTTTTTTGGTGCATGGAATAACAGTAGACTTGCTCAGCCACAATAGCAGTCACAATCAGAGTAGGTATAAGAATTATGGTCATGACATGGCTTACAAATATACAACACAATTTTTGGTTTATAGTGATAGGATGAAGAGACAGTAGAGAGACAAAACATAGTCATAAGATACAAGCTTTTCTTGCAGTCTGTGAGAATAATGTAGGATACAGTTCAACGTTTAGAATACATGCTATGCGATCCAGTTATTCAACGTTTATATATAAGCAGGCT